AGGACGCTAATAGTAACAAGAAGCTACTAGTAACAAGTGCCTTACTACTATTGCAAACTTTCACCAGCTCATGTTCAACGACTTTCAGGTCACTTTTAAGCTTTCACCGCCGGAAGAGGCGCACGCTCCGACCACTTTCAGAATCCTATGATTATAAACAACTTTCATTGGAAAGAGCCTGTTTTCTAAATTTAAAAAAGTAAAAAAAATCAAATCAGCAAATTTCAGAAAATCAAAACAACGTCAATTTGCACAGATTTAACTTTTTTTTACTTTTTTTTTGCTTTTTTTTTGGACTTTTCAATTTGACTTGTTTTTTTGGTCCTTTTTTGGAACTTTTTTTTGGACTTTTTTTCGACTTTTTTTTTGACTTTTTCGAGCTGTGGTCTACGGTTGACTTTTTTTTTGGACTTTTTTTTCGACATTTTTTGATTTTTTTGTTTTATTTTTGACTTTTCTTGACTCCAGTAATCCGCCAAGGCGAGGAGCCACAGTTTGATTTTTTTTTAAAACTTTTTTCGACTTTTTTTTGACCTTTTTTTGATTTTTTTTTGACTTTTTCGAGCTGTGGTCTATGGTTGACTTTTTTTAATACTTTTTTTTGACTTTTCACTTTGACTTTTTTTTGACTTTGACATTTCCAGTTGACTTTTTTTTGACTTTTTTTAAAATCACGGATTCTGGCCTTACCATATGAAAGTTTTTGTAATCCTATGAATATGTACCACCGCAGGGCAGAAAGCACACTGCCCCTCATCCCTTAGAAACCTACTACTTCGACGTCATCACCGGGCAACTTTATGACAACTGTTATGCTGTCGAGATCAGATGAACGGGTGTTAAAAAACAGTGGCAGATATGACAGAAACACGAACTGAGTTAAGGAGCAAAACACATGAAAGAAGTTGACAGGAAATGAACAGACATGAACAGACAATGAAGGAAGATCTTAAGGAGAATGAAAGGACTCTTTTAAAGCGCATGTCAAGACAATGAATGGAGAACAAAGGCTGTACAGGACATTGAATAGGCTGTAAAGGTCTTCTGGACAACGAAAAGGACCATAATCTAAAGCAATACAGAAAATTACATAATGATTGAACAACTTTTGAGGGACAATGGCACGGACAATGGATTAAAAAGGAAAAGCAACGGATTCGAAAGGACATGAAGGAACATGAAAAGATAAAAAGTAGCATGAAAGGACATGACAAAGAAAGAAACATGAACCGTTTTATAGGAACATCAAGGGTTGGCGCCCATCTTCACGCGGGGTATTCGAACAAAAGTAAGCAGCTGTTCGTGCGCACGATCCCAGCAGTGGACTGCGTTTCGAACACCCCGCCGCCTTAAGAGAAGCAACGTGAAGCAACTATATCCAACCTACTAGCGATGCCTCCAACCTAATAGCAACTACTTTAATTGATGATAATGCTGTTGCTGCTGCTGCTGATGGTGGTGGTGGCGATGATGATGACACGAAGACGTGATGTTGGAAATAACCTGACATATATATTTCATGAAGGACATCACGGTGTTGAACACAAGGTCAAGATGTTGAAGATGGAGTACCGTGGTCTATGTTGGACCCCATTCTTTTGGAAACCTTTTCGCAAGTGCTTTTGGTGCAGAGTAGAGTAGACAACCGTTGGATTCTCTAGTTTTTGCAAAAAGGAAAGCCTCCTTGTTGCCACTTTGCCTTTGCTCCACGAAGTGCTTCTCAGGCAGAGGTGATGGACGTCATTTCGCATGATGGGCGCTGGAAACAAGGGGCACCGTCCGTCACTGGTCACTTGGAATCAGTTTGACGGGCCTAGAATAGCTTGAAACGGGTGGCTGTTCTTCCCACTACTTTGGTCTGGTGAACCCGCAAAAGACTATAAAGTTGAGAAGCAGAGTTCTGACCACAGAGAGCATGCTTTTTACTAGGCGGAAAGCCTGTTATGGATCCGAAGCTCCGTGAGCTTGCGGAGCTCCTCATTTTCGATGACTACCAGACCTACCTCCAAGAGTCGCGCTCTCAGCTTTCGGTGTTTGGATCATTCCTTGTTGGTTTGTCAGTTTGGCATTGCCTTGCATACTTAGATATCTAATGATATCTATATAGCTACAACAATTCAAGGTTTCTGTAAAGATATATACTTGGCTCCTAGATTTGACGGCTCACATAATTTCACAAACAACGGTTCTCTCCAGGAAGCTTGTCGACTTGGCCGTGGTGCAGCGCTATGCCAGGGATTTTGCGCTGATGCCCAGTGCCATGGTCCTCATGCGCTCCACAGACGGGAAGGTGGTCGACGCGTGTCAACCGGTGTCGTCAGAAACCAAAATGTCCAATGCCTCTAGCTTTTGCAAGACCAGCTTAGTTTGGATGGATTTTCTCACCAACGGTCCAAGTCAGAGTTTTGACCAACAAACACTAGCTCAGCGGTAAGGAAGCAGAAGCGCCTTGCAAAATACAATTTGGAACCAGACAACATACATTTCAACACAATACCACCGCATTCAGGCACAGCGGCACAGTAGAGAATATTGGTAGAGCCAGAAGGCCCTAGGTGCTAGGTCTTATATTTCACAACACCAAAAGAAGGCTGCTACAGGTGCTGCTAGTTGTACTCTCCAGAACGCTTTGCTTGTGTAAGAGAGTAGGTTCTTTGGTAACAGCTTTGTTGGAAGCGTCTCTTTCGCAGACGCTTCTTCATTGGGCCGCCATTTACGGGAATCATATCGATGTGGAGTGGCTTCTGTCGTCTGGTGCGCAATTGCTTGCTCTCGACCAGCTGGTGTTTCAAGATCTTCGCCTCACAATTCTGAAGCCAAAAAAGCAGGAGCTTGGGGAGGCATGTGTTCTTTTTGACGAGAAAACATAGAGTTTTACCATTTTTGAATTTAGAGCAGCAATGGAAAGCTCAGCCGAAAACTAGCCGCTGAAAGTTGCAATTTGTGCCAGATTGAAGAGATTCGGCCCAAGTTCTTTTGGCAGAAGAATGAGCGGGCCTTGTCTACGATTCTTCCCTCGTCGGTGTTGCAAGATATGCCAAGTTGGGTGAGACTGCAACAGGAGCCGATTTGTTTCCCTTGCGGGCTTAAATGTGGTATGGCTTGCAGGGCTTTCGTAACTAGTCGGGTGTAAAGGCATGATTAGGCGTGTAATCATTAGAAACAGCATCGCGGCCAGCAGGAGTCTGTGTCGGAGTGGTTGACCCAGGATATGAGCTTCCAGAGAGCAGAATCGTTTGATTGCTTCCAATGGCCAGAAACCTTGCACGAAAGCACTGTGGCTGCAGCCAGGGTAGTGCGGATCTAACGTGTTGTTCAATCCTTCAGAATGGATTGCCCTTGCTCAGAAGATCGAGACAGATTGCCCTTGCGAATTCCAGCCAGGATCGATCGCATCATGGGTGTTGGAGGCGAGAGTGATTCAAAAGGATCTTTCACCCAAAGAAGCTTGGCTTGAGCGAAGGATGAAACTGAATGTGGACTGACTGGTGGTTGATAGGCCAAAAGCAAAGGTACTCTCCCAAAGAACTTGTCTAGACTTTGAAGAGAAAGGTCCTACTAGTGATCTTTGGGCTGTGCCAGCTGTGCTATCGTGCCCAGTGCCAGGAAGAATGGGTGATCTTGAATCTTCAGTTGGAAGGATTGGAATTGAAGGACAACGACGAATCTGAAGAAGAAAAGTCGGGGACACTGGCTACACACACGAACCGTACACCTTTGGACTATGCGTTGCAGTTTGCTCCCAGTGTTTGGGAGGGTCATATGGATGACACTCCTAATAAGCAGCTGTCGCCGCACGCCAAAGTGTGCAAGTCCCTCAGCTAAGTGGCCTCACTCGTTTCTTTTACAAACTCAGTCATGGACTACATGGCTCCATTCTTTGCTTTATTTGGCTCTAGTGTGTCGGGGTCAAATCGTTCTCACCATGCTGACGCAACCAGGCTGCTGCTTGAACGTGCTTTAATGGCTGAGAAGCAGCAGGATGCGAGAGGAGGTAGCTTGCTAAAGCATGCCTTGCGTTCCTACGTTCGCCCATATGTGCGCTGCAGGACACGCGGGTCTTGGGTTGACAAGCAAGTTTGGTATTTTTAATGCATTTCAGAATATTCTACGTATGTCCAACCATCCATGTCAGAAGAAACCATTGCATTTGGCCTAGTTTTGCCGCAATTTGAAGAGAGCGCTGTAGGACATTGCCCAAAGATGTTATTGACCTCCATATCGGAGAGCAAGGCCAGACGACGATTGGGGACTCCAGGACAGGAGCTAGCCTCCAACCTAATTGCGATGGCCTCCAACCAAATTGCGATGGCCTCCAACCTAATAGCAATGGCCTCCAACCTAACAGCGAGGGCCTCCAACCTAACAGCTATGAACGGTGGAACAGTGTTTCATAGTTTATTGGCCTGTGCTGGAATCGTGTTATTCGGACACTCTCCTTCCCGTTTTGTTCCTTACATGAGAACGGTGCTCTTTGGAGCTTTTGGAACTTCATCGCCTTTTATGTAAGCTGAGTCTTCTTGATATGCTTGGGAGCCGTTGTTTCTGTGGTGCGCCTGTGCGCAGATGACACTGCAGAGAAGAACACTCTGCTGCATGTAGCCGCGAAGCTTGGACGCTTGGAGAAAGTCGGACGCCTCTTGGGTGTCCATCGCCAAACTAGCACCTGTTCTGGGCCATTTCATTTTAACTCGTGCTTGGTGCTCTTTTAAGCAACCTGCATCGTTGTTCAGAATCAATGTATACTGAGGCCTCGTGAATGTTTGCTCAGAACTGGTGCGGAGAAGGTGTGCGTTCAAGGACACTGGCTGCCTGCAATGTTGGGATTCCGGATTAGTGTTACAAAGCCAATTATTTTATACTGGCAACACAGCAGCTGTCAAAAGTGGAGTAGGGTTGGCAGATTTTCAGGAACGTTGGACGCATTGTGAGCCAACATGAGCCAATGTACTCTAACCATTTGTGACCTATTGTTACAATGTGTTGGCGCTGAGCAGATATAAGCCTCTCCGCGCAACCGAAGGAAATAGCTGAGCAGAATCCGTTGGATGTTGCTGGGGGCAAGGCGCACGAAGTTCTGATCTTGCCAGCCTTCCTCGCCATTTGTGGGAAGATTTCGACACTAAATCCGCCGCGGGTCATTTGGCTGCAGTGCGGGCCCTGCAGGGTGTTGTTTGTGTGTGTTTCTTTTTAAGAACAGAATATGCCTAGAGATCAAATGGGTATCAGCATAAGGATGAGGAGGCCGTGACACAATGCATCATCGCAGTGGACGAGGAAGCGAAGTCGTCCCTTGAAGGACTGAAGTCTCGAGACTTTACTTTCCAGCAGAAACTTGGCAAACCGAGCGCAAAACGGGCAAGGCGCGTGCGTATGCCTTTTGTTTAAATGTTCTTTCCGACAGAACCCGGACGGAAGTTCCTGCAAATGAGTTACTTGCATTTACTTGCAGACTTGTAGGTGTTTTTTTGGTGCGCAGTGTGATGTGTCGCTCATTGTGATGCTGTGCGCAGCAATGCTTTATTTATGATGCTTTGTGTTGTGATGAAGTAGTGCTTGTTGATTTGTGCTGTGGTGAAGTGTTGTGTGGTGATTTGCGATGTTGCAAAAGTCAGGTGCGGTGTGGTGAGTTTTACGATACACTTGTGATAGTCCGACGTGGAAATCTTGAGGTACAGTACGTGGTTTTGAGGTTTTCAGGCAATCTATCATGCGTTCGGCATTGTTTCTCAAACAAAGAGCCTGATTTTAGACGCTTTTAGTATTTGCAAATAGCATCAAATAGCAAAGAAAGTGCAAGGTACACAATCCATCCAAACAGGTTCACAAAGAACAATTATGCACACGGTACTGTGCCGCAAAGTGTGCGCCTGGAAGTTGAGAGCTGAGGATCATGAATATCAAGAATCCGCATGATCAAGGTCATGGAATTCTGGAATACGCAGCAATGTATGGACTGGACCGTGCCGTGGCCTTTTCTGATCAGGTCGACTTGAGTGCACCGAGTACAACCTTTCGCGCAAAAGTGCCTAAGTCTGATTTTTTTGACTTGGACCAAAACCCCAATGCCACTAGGTGTTTTGCAGTACATCATCAAAAATTATGAGATGGAGGACACCCGTCCAACAAGATGGCCAGCAGATCTGATTGCCACCGTCTCTCAGCCCCGGCAGCAATGTTTTAAACGGTGTTGGGGGTCTCTGGCAGAGTCACTGGAGGTGATGTGAGTTTTTAAGCACTGTAGGAGGCTGCTTTGTGATACTACAAAGTAGGCCCAGTTCGCTTTGCCAGCTTTTCAAGCGCCTTAAATGTTGCACAAAGTGGTCTGCAAGGCATTGCCGCGATATCCCAACCGGCAGAAGTTGGTTGACAAAATCCGATCCGATTTTTCGAAAGCTGACGAGACATGGGGAGTATTCCACAGCAAGCAACACTTGAAAGAATTGTATGACCAACTTGCCGGACTGGACGAGGCCATGGCAAACTTGCTGCCAAAATGCATGTGGAATGAAGTGCGCAGTTGCACTAGGTCTAGGTATGACTTGGGTCATTTTTCCGGCTCTCGCAGGAGGGAACATTGAAACAGGTGCAGCAGGAAAACTTCTACCGGGACAACCTCCATCACGCAGCTTCTATCGATACTCCGGAGGCAAGGGACTTGTTGCAGTTCTCCATTGTGGCTTGAGTGCATGGTGCGCTGCTGTATAGGATTGAATAGGTCAAGGTGCAGTCTGGAATCATTATACCAAAATATTGCACTTCAGTCCGATGGGTTCCACGTAATTACGCGGTGTCAGCTGAACGGAAGAGCACCGGCAAGTTGCCAGTAACTAATCAGCTGTCAGCAGTGTGGTGAGAAGGCAAAGTTCCTGGTAGAGCTGATGCTGAAGGACTGGGCTCAGTCATTCTTGTCGTTGGGGTTCTCAGCGGCTGATGGACATCTTGGACCCATTTGGACCCCATGACAGAAACAGCTAAAGAAGTGTGCAAAAAAAGCCTGTGTGCCTAAGCTGAGCGTGCCCTGGCTTGGCCAGAACAATCCAAATGAAGTGATGAAGATGAAAGATGCCTCCGGCAACACAGCGCTGCATATGGCTGCCAGATATAACAATCTGGAGGTGAGGTTTGTTGAGAAACGCGCCTATGGCATTTGGTTGGTTTTGTGTTGCTGTTGCATACTTTGGGTGTTGGCAGACTTTAACTCACTGAGACACGCTGCAGGTGGTGCAGTTGCTTTGCGAACAGTACAATGCAAACAAAGAAGATGCTGAGCAGAATACAACTTTCAACAAGTCAAGACAGCCTGAATTCAGATCATCAGTTACCACTCAAAACATGGATGTTTAGTTGTCATGAGCTTTGAAAAACAGGCTTTGGATTGTTGTACGGTTGCTCGATTCTGTAGATGTTGTTGTTCTGAGGAAAAGAACATGCACCAATGGAAGCCTCTCCATTTGGCTGCCATGCATCAAAGCTTCGAGTCGATGAAGTTCCTCAGCTTGTCACTGATGAATCTTCAGAGCAGACAAGAAGCGCGAAAGATCTTGCTGCAACTGCCTTTTACTGTTGCGTGATCTGTGTACAGGTATGGGGATTTGTAATTGTATCATATTGCACACAAACAAGTTCACACACACATATGAGCAGCATACATATGAGCAACCCCATTAAATTACTGTAGCCGATGTAAGGATTTTCTTGGAGGTGGCCACACTTTTTCCAACGTGCCGTGGCCCCGCTGAATGAGGTAGGGGAAAGCCAAAACAACAAGATTTCCTGTACACGTATAGTGCTGTAGGGTGTTTGTTCAGATCTGAACGACATCAGAACGACAATTGATTATGAAAGAGCTTCAAGGGCCCTTTTCCGGAGTACCATTGATCATTTAGAAAAGGTGCTACAGCGTAGCCTTCAAAGAGCAATCTGTGCTAAGAAAAAAAAACGCCCATCATAGAGCAATGTGCTACTGGAAGTTTCCCAAAGAGCAATCTGTGCTGCGGACACCTGTGCCATACCTGGGTATGGAATCAGTGTGGTCCACCATCGACTTAAAATGCTTTAGGTAGTTCCTTTTTGGTGGTCAAGGGGGCTGATTTTACAGTATGTGACCTTGAGTTTTTAAGAAAGGAGGTCAAACACCATGGCTTTATATAGAGCATGGTTGGTTGAACAAAGACCTAAACAAACCAGTGTGCTTGGTCGCTATTTTTGTACTGGTATTTTGTTGCCTAGATTTTTGTGTACCCGTGACCTTTTCCTCCAGAAAATGAGGGAGGTCTACATGGCTTATAAAACGTTTCATGGGCCCCCGCTAGAGGGAGGTCAGCCCTGGATTTCATAGAGAGTTGCAAGGTTTGTGAGTGTGCGTGCAAAAGTTCATTTCGGCTTTGGCTCCAAAAAGTGGCACGCAAAGAAGACCCTCAAAGGCCCCGTGAGCCAAAATTCGCTGACCGCTCCAGTGACAGCTGGGCTGGGAAACGACATGGGAGCGACGCTTGAACGACCATCCCCAGCTGACATTCTCGATGTGCATGACGCGGTGCTCATGTGTCACTCTATTTGTAAATTCTAGCTTTGCCCTTTCAATATGTTTTTACAAGAAAGAGGTAGCGTCCGTAGATGGTGCCAACAAAAGGACGATGGGTATTGAACAGAACTCGCTTGGACAACGAGACCCCAGACAAGCACCAATATCAAGTCAAGGGGAGCGGCGTTGGGGGATACGACCATTACGGTTAGTTCTGTAGTCTTTCATAAAAGCCGGCGTGATTCATTACGTGCATGCATGCATGCATGCATGCATGCATGCATTCATACATACTACTCGGACTGCGTATGCTTGCGTTGGCAGACCAGCAAACGCGTCATCTGAGGTATTTGCTGGAGTCATCAGCACAGCCCATTTCCATGACATCAGACAAAGAGACGCCGCTCCACCTCATCGCAAAGCATTTCACTGTTCCGCAGAATGTAAGGCCTGGGTACGTATAGTGGAAACCGAACCCTTGCAGATGATTCCTTTCAGTTCTGATTTTGAAGCCTCTGCCAGTGAACCATCGTCCCACGCGCAGGTCTTTGGAGCACAACGCAGAGCAGAAACAGTTCCACCAAATTATGGATATACTCATTGACAAAATATGCGCAGCAGACCGGAATCCCAAGCAGTTCATCAACAATCAAGATAGTTCGGGAAAAACGGCGTTGGAATACTTGGCAGGAGGAAGTCCAGCCTTTGTTTGCCATCCCATGCAACGTCTTGTCAGAGAGTTTCCCCACCCCGACAGTTTTGCAAACGTTTTGGATTCGGTGACATCGACAATGGGCAGAACTCCTATCCTGAAGGCCGGGAACTTAAGCATTTTCTTTCCTTTCTTGTTTTCTGTAGATCTTTAGGCAATTCTATTCCCTTCTCTCTTTTTTCATGTGTTCCTTCGTGTTCATAAGTTCATAATGTCATAATTATGGGGACTGTGAGATAAACAAAATCTGGAGGTGTAAAACCATTCTGGCAGGGGGGTTCATTAATCAACGCAGTACATGAAAGAATCATGAAGCTCACTCTGCCGACGCTGTATGTTGTCCAGAGATGGTTCAATCAAAACAGTCAGTCCATTCATAACATGCTTGTAGACAAACATGGATCTTTACCAGCCTTTTTGTGTCCTCACCTTTTTGGCTCCCTGTGGCCCCATCTGTGAGGCCTTGCTCGAATCGACCCCACTGATGGACACTGAGGAAGAGGATCGAATGGGGTAGGACAAACCAAAGATGGGTAGGTCAAACGCTCGGAGGATGCGACTGACGTTCCGATCCAGAATTCGAGACTGTTTCGTTGTGTTGATGTATTCGAAGCACAAAAAGATAAGCTCATTTTTCTGACAAAGTCGCTCAAGTCCAGGACCCCGCCACCATTTCTTTACTTCGTCAGCTTGTCGAATCTAACGGAAATGATGACCTGACTGCGCTCCAGCGGTGCGCAACAAACGGCAACCTCGATGCAGCCAGGCGACCAGAAAACCATCGCTGTCAGAAGTATAATTGGGAATACTAGTAGCTTCTTGCTCCTAGTCGCGATGCCCTTTGTTACTAGTAGCTTCTGGTGCCTAGTCATTGAATAGTGAAAAAAGAGAGAGGACAGCCGAAGCTTGAGAACAGAGGGAAGCTTTGAAGATCTAAATCTAAAGAAGCAAAACACATATAAATTCCTGTGCTGTACAGTGCTGTGAAAGCTTACAAGGAAAGAACATTCAGAAAACAAAACCATTCACCTTTCTTTTTCTGTTTCAAAAGGGAAGGTGATTTTCATGGTGAGCTGCTTGAGCTCCCGCAGGGTGATCCTGGAGAAGTTGATTTCGCTGCCGTTGTTGAAGCAAGCTCTTCTTCCAGGCTGATAAGCTTTGGAGCGACAGGAGTAAGTCGTAACAAGTCGTTGGAATTGTCGTAGCCTGGAACTGCCAGGCTTCAACTTCTCGGCCTTGAATGATATCAATTTGCCACTGCATTTGGCCATGCAAAACAAGCACGAGGAGGTTGCAAAGCTTTTAGCTTCACGCTGCTTAGCTTAAAATATTCAATAATTGAGCGTTGGAGCATGTTGCAGTGCCATGTTTGGCCATGTTTGGCCGATGTAGCGCGATGCAGCCTGACACCTCAGGGATGCTTGTCATCCTGGAGCCAGAAGACTTGAAAGCGCTGCAATGGCGTAACTTTTTCTGTGCAGATGCCTCACGCAAATTCCGAGAGGACATGGAAAGTGCTTCGGCCATAAGCTGGTGCGCGGAAGTTTATTTCATCATAAGCTGTGAAGCTCTTATTCTTTGTAATCATTTTTCTTCTTGCGTGTGCACTGTGTGTGTGTCATCATGTCATAGGATCAAAATGGATCAAACACAAAAGAAGAGTATCAAACAACGCTTTTCGTACTCCCTGGTCTGTGGGTCCTCTGGCCCTGTGGTTTCCTGGCCCCGGGTCCGGGTCCGCTGCTCTGGTCTTCTTCTTTGGCCCTTGGCTCGTCTGCTCAGACTTGCGCAGTTCCGTGGTTCCCTGGTCCCGTCATCCGCCCTATCGTCTAATATATTCGGTCCAAAAAGCCGGGCTCGCGCGCATTGCTAGTGCAGTGCTTTATGAGTGCCGTGGTTTGGCCCATCTCGTCATCTGAGGGTTGCAGCCGTTCAACGCCACAGTTTGCTGCCTTCCTTGGCCCCGGCCGCTGAAGGGATATCAGCTAGGATAGCAGCTGCGAGATGACCCCGCGCCATCTCAGCTAAATGTCCCTACTAGATGTGGACCCATCAGCTTGAGATTTGATGTCTTGAGTTTGATGCTTGCCAGCGAACAGCTCCCAAACCCACAAGTTGAAGTGCAATAGCAGTGCAACTTGCTCTGCGTTCATTGTGGCTAGAATTGCATACAGTTCCCTCAAGTTGTCAATGCAGCTTTGGCTGACAGGCATTGCGCACGGCATGCGAACCAACCCACCTTTGCCCTAACAAGCCTTGTGAACTCTGAAGCTCAACCTGGAAGACAAACCGACGCCTGCGAAAATGAATTTGTTTCACGTCCGAACATCGGCGCCTTGCATTCCTGGATTATTTTCTAATTTTCTGGAGCGCCCTTTGATCCGTTTGATTTTCTGTTCTTTTCATTTTCCCGTCAAGTCATCAACCCTTAATTTTGATTTACTTCCCATTTCCTTTCAAGCCCTCTTGTCACGGCCGTTTCCCCTGCCATTTCTCTGATGGATTCTCTGGTTGCCTGGTTTGTTTCTTTTCGTAACCGTGTTCCTTCTTTCCCGTTTTCTTGCGATGTTGTTTTCATGTGCTTGAAAAGCCTACAATTTCACATGATAAAACTCTCATTTTTCTTTGTTGCTTGCAGTTTTGTTTGCAGCCCTTTCAAGTTCCTTTCGCTGAATTTGTTCGACCCACTTATTGTTTGACATCCTTTGGCACTTTTTTGCAGCTGTGGTTCAATAACTTTCCCTCTCAGCGCAGGCATTTTCACCCGAGACGATTCCTTGCTTGAAGCCGTGAAAGCTGGGGACCGAACCGCGGTGGAGGCAATTTTGAAGAAGCGTGCGACGTTGGCAGAAGAGAGCGCCGTATCTGAAATGATGGCCTCAGGAGAGATCAGGCGCTACTAGGGGGCTCCTGGCATCGCTACTAGGAGCAAGAACTCTACTAGGGGCTCCTGGCCGTACTACTAGGAACAAGAAGCTATTCGAAACAAGAGTTCAATAGAATTAGATTTAAGTAGTTTTAATTTGAATTAAGAATAAACTAACGCAAAGTACTTACAATCTAATAGCGATGGCCTCCAGCCTAGAAGTGATGGGTCACATTGTTGGGTCCCATGGAACTTGAAGGAACAACTGCAACTTAAAGCGTGGCACGCTTTTGGTTGCCTTCATTTCTTCTGCAAGGAGGCTAATTTGCAATAATTGGTATGCTCCGTCATCCGCTGAGGTATTGATGACCAAGGCAATACCCCTCTACATTTTGCTGTCCAAAACCGTACGAATCGCCAGCAGAAGGACATTGTTCTGCCACGCAGCATGCATGGGATGTGTTGGACAACTGACGGACTGAAAAATGTATCCATTGGCACCACACTGTGTGACCACACTTTCTATGAGGCTTCTTTTGGAGAATCGTGGAACCATGGTGCCGAATCACAAAGGTGAGACACCGCTGCATCTCTTGTGCAGCCGACGCTTCCTTGCACTATTTTATGACTTTGACACTGGGAGGTGTAATGATGAGGGCAGTTGAAACAAGTTGAAACCTGTCGAATATTGTCGAACATGTTGAATTCTTTCACCGCTACTCTGCGATCTTGTCCGCTCATTGTCCTCCAATTGAGGTTAAGAAGGGTGTCAACGTGCAAGAATCCAAATGTGCCGGATGTTCTTTTCCTCACCTGACTGTACCACTGGCTTTGATCTTTCCCTGACCTCACCAAGGTGCCGCAAGTCTGACGCATAAACCCCAGGACGAAGCCGTGGCCCACGAGCGCTGGTATCATCGCTGGAAGAGACCTCATTGGGAGGACGCATTTTTGCGAAGCGTGTGCCGCGAATGTTGTTCAGGTCCCAAGGCAAACGTCACAGATGTTGTCGTTGAATCATTGGAAGGCAAACGTCACTTTTTGCACATCCCCTTCCTTCGAGTGCTACTTGTAGGATGAGGAGGATGAAGAGGGAAAAGATGAGCGGGAGCTGGGGAGCTTGATCCAGATGACTGATTTCATCTTGAAGACGCTGGTCACAACTCATCTGACGGATTCGGATTTCAACACAAGGGAAACTCTGGCGGATGGGAAGTCCCCGCTGGAACAAGTTTTGGCCTATAAGACAACTGATGGTGACACGGCCTTCGACTTGCTTTGTGGGGGGTTGGAGAATGCGGCCTTCGGAGACGAGACCCATCGCCTTCGAAAGTTCCTGAAATTGGCTTGGCTGAGACCGCTCAAGTCAAGAGGAGTGAAGATACGACTGGGTATGATTTGGTATGATTGAGAAGGTTCGAACATCCCAGCATTTCATTCCAAGATGTACTAGTGGGAAGAAGGGGGTATATAAGCCAGTTTCAAAATAGCAAGGACGGATTTAGAGGAACCTGTTTGAAGTCAGACACAGATAAAAGATCATTGTTCAAGTTTCTGAAGCATGATAGAACTTCGGAATCTCGTTGCGCTGCTTCAGTGAGCTTTCCTGTCTTCCCTCCAAACTCTCTTGGGAGCAGCAAAGCTGTCATATTTCTAACGCACGGTGTATGGTTCGGCCAACTCAAGCCGTGCAATTTCTTGCTCGGCAGTAGCTTTCTTTGTAAAAAAAGATCAAGGGCACAAACTACGAGATGGACAATTGGGAGAATGATAATAGACTCGGAAAGCTCAACTACAGTCAAGTACAGATGTCAGGTTGTCGGAGCAGACGGTAGAGGAGGTTCTGGGCTTAAGAAAAAGACTGTTGGAGAAAAGAGTTTCTGGAAACGACGTAAATTGCACCTTTCTAATCTTACCAGCAACTGTGGCCCGTGACGGTCCCGGGCCCTTAGTCTGTGAGCTTAAGCGCCGAATTTGCAGGAGATTTCCTCATCCCGGCCCGAGAAAAGCTGACTCTGCTTGGCCTGGCTGTTCTCATGCAGAGTCGAGAGGCCCGAAGGCGTAGACTAAATACCCCAAAGCAGTACTCTAGGGCAAGCTCTACTTGTTTGTCCAAAATCAGTATTCGCTGGTGAACGAGATGGCCGCCCCCGCATAAACGATACATATATGTAATATAATGCAATATATATATGTATCTAAATGACCCTAAAGTAGGTTGTACAAGATACTGTGGTTTATTGCTACTACAACATTCTGAACGAGATACTGTGACGTGACCTCCTACTTAATAAGCCTAAACGAGATAGAGCCCCCGCGTAGTAGAATATTTTACGACAGGGGCAGAGGTCATTGGTTTTGAGAGCCGCTCAAGAGGGCCGGCCATAGATGTTGGATGTGTGAAAAACATAGGAGGCCATCGCTCTTGGGTTGGAGGCCATCGCTAGTAGGTTGGAGGCCATCGCCCATAGGTTGGGCCATCGCTCTTAGGTTCCTGTATTCCATTGTGTGAAGAAAACATCATAAAACATCTATGTATGTTCTAGGGATCAGACTGGTTGTGAGGGATCCGTTTCGGGGGCGCTGGTAAATTTCAAAGTACCTCGACAATGCGTCTCTGTCCGACAGACACTTGACAAGCTATAAACATGTTCTATACTTCACCTGTAATAATTAGTTTCTTTCCACCCCCGTGGCCTCAAGCTGTGGTAGTTTTGGCGCGGGCCAAGAATGGTGAGGGCTCAGAACTCAGGAGCATCCTGACCACTCCAAGATTGACTTGTTTGTCCCCACTTCCCAAAGCAGAGAAATTGATGCTGTGAAGTACCAGGAACGTCAGGAACACCACTATACAAAACAAACAAGTTCCCGTGACATGTTTTTCGTATACACACCCAATCGATTTCACCATTGGGTCCTGTACCTTGGTGCAATTGACCATCTTCAGGCTGCTGAACTTGTGAAAAAGGGTGACCCGCTTGCTGGCTCTCCAGACGAGAATGCCTTCACTTATGCTTTGCTGTCCAGAAGATACGTGCCTCGCCATGTAATTCATCTGTGTAAAGACACTTGAAGATCGGGCCTTGTGGGGTTCAAGGGTTTCGGCGACTCTCATTGAACGAATTATAGATATATTATCATGACTTGTTAGTTTGTTGTTGAAACAAACTCATTAAGAGAGTGCTGGTGATGATATGAGGACTTGGTGCGACAGATGCTCCAGCGCCTCCAGGACACACAGGGAGCACAGGAAGAGAAGCTCCAACAGGCAATGGGCAGCCACACAATCCATTTGCTTTTCAGAGATGAGGCGCGGAACACAGAGATGAACGGTCGAGAACGAGATCAAAACAGAGACGCCTCATGTGTTGCTGAAGTATGTGATAGATAGTATGATTTGAATCATAGATGTGCCCGCATGGACAGGACTACAATGAAGAACTTCTGGAAAATATCATTGAGATACTCCATGCTGACGATGTGGCGCAGTTCTTGCAGAGAGACCGCGTCCTGGAGAGGCGCCTGAGCCGTGTTGTAACGAAGGGGAGGGACATGGTGGGACGACCTGGGATGACCTGGGACAGGTCACCACTGAGAGTGAATGGAACATGGCGCAAAGTGTCGTGCTGAGGTGTTGGGCGAGAGGGAGTGAACGTCTCTTTGAGGCTTTGGGGTCAAAGTTGGGCTCCTTGGAACCGCAAGGCAGTAGCAAGAAGCTAAGAAACTACTAGTAGCAAGGCGCCTTGCTAGTAGCGACAAGCTACTAGTAGCAAGTCACCTCGCTAGTAGTAGCTTCTTGCTACTATCAAGATTTCACAGTTTTGTCAGGTTTCACGATTTCTCGTTTGTGAAAGGCTCAATGAGAAATGCGGAATCAGTGGATCAAAAATACAAAAGTGGTTTTAAATTAGGCATAGTTTATTTTTAGTATTTGTTTAAAAGGAATCAAGGAACCAAATGAATATTGCGAGCCCTTCTTCAAGGAAGCTCCCCCGCCCTCAGGTGGGGGGAGCTTCCTTCAAGAAGCGTGAGATGTTTTGCTTTGTAGGTAGTAGCAGGTTACCTAGTAGATCCTAGTAGTTTGCTTGGCCGTTACTTAATTACGTAGGCGCCAACTTATATAATCAATTAATTATGGGTGGGCTACAAAGACAAACCCATGGCTTATGTCAGCGTGGCTGCATAGGGCGAGCAACTATGAGCCACTGGTCGAGTGCTACGGTTGCACCGAGGTCAGGCAGCCTGCGAAGATTCGGATTGGATCAACTGGCGGTTCGGAGAGAAGGTTGGGGCCTCAATTCGTCCTGTGGGGTTTGTTTCGCGGAGGTTCCGGTGTATGCTCTAGATGATACGCAGGGAGCAATTAGAACCTTTACAACAGAGCAATGCATTGCCATGGTGTGCCTACTCAACGAAATCTCTAGGACTGCGTGGAGCCATTTCACCTATCGTTTTGAAGTTGGAGACGACTGAACGTCTAAGACATTGCAAGCCTGCCTTCAATTTGGGAAGGTATCCCTTCGGGTCAGTCCGGCGATTGGTCGTGGGAGGAGAATGATGCGGCGATTTCGGCAGCGGGTCCACTAAACTCACCAGACCTTTGTTAAATTTTGTTAACATAAATTGTGATGCGCATGCATTTTGCGTTGAGAATCGAGGCCTGGACTCTGGTTCATGTCTTTGTGAGCCTCGGAAAGCTGGAGGCCCTGAATGTGCCTGGGATGTGACTTCATGGCGAGGGCAATAGAGCTACAGGCTTTGCGTGCGTTGACCATGGTGATAGTATACCAGTGCCGCGTCGAGCGCAGGCCAAGAGTGTTGACGCTCCTAAGAGCTACTGTAGTTTTGTGCACTTGATCACTTGCAACATTTTGCAACTAGAACGTTTGACGCCCTGAGACATGCCAGACGGCTCCCGTGATCAGTTGCGTGTTTCAACTCGTATTTGTATAGTTCGCTCGTGAACGGGTTGAAGAACAGCTCTCAAGTTACCTGAGCCACATTACGCGCCCCGCCCGAACTTGAACCCGAACCCGAACTAGAAAAGTTCCCATCCAGATTCACCCCCACCCGGGGAACATTCTGTCAAGTTACCTGAGCCAAGAGCAGCAAGCCCAAACCTTACTGTAAACTTATGGAAACACGTTATTAGTTCGATCAAGACGTCCTGGCGCAGCGCCTTTGCCACATTTTGATTGAGGACTTGCTTTCTGACTCTGCTTTGGACCACTCCAAATTGGTGAAGGTTCTCAACACAGAGGACAGGGAATGCAGACCTGACCCAACGATGACCGGCGTTTGTTGGCCGTGAACAAAACCAATTAGTCTAATTCGGAAAGGCTTCATTTGTTGCTTTCTTCTCCGATGGAATCCAGGACAATCACGGCAACACACCCATGCACAGGCTGCTCCATTTCCTTGGTTGCGTGTTCGTGAAGATTGCTGGTGAGCCCAACTTTCAGGGGTGCTATTTTCCAGTGGAAGAGTATGGCAGGCTTTCCTTCAAGAAGTTTGGAGTGCATATTTTGGATGTCGAGGAAGAGAATCTGCCGGGCCCTCCTTGCCCGTGCTGCATCAGAGTTCGAGAGCAAGAGAACAAGAGGTTCTGGGTTTTGGAGAATGATGACTGGGAAAGGCCATTTGCAGCACAACTGGAAGCTCGTCCCGAGATTTCGATGGACGAGCTTCCAACGGGCTCGAGCTGGGAGAGATATCACAGCGCAAGCTCTGAGAAGCCAAGACTGGAAGTCTTCAAGTCACCTCTATTTGCAGCCGAAAAGATTGTGCATGTGCTGATTGAGTTCAGAGCGGACATCACGAAGCAAAACTGTAGGGGAAGAACTCCCTTGCGCTGGCCTTAGATACTTTTAGAAGCGTCTCCAAAACACGCAACCCGACCTCTCAAGACATTGGAAGTCCAGCAACACATGAAATGTGTTTTGCGCGCGAGATGTTCATAAGCTGTTTGCAGCGCTCTAGCAAAAAAGCAACCCTTCGATTTAAGTCACACCTGGTTAATTAATCATTGACATGAAAGCGGATGCAATGGTGGCGTTGATGGTCCACCGAACGTTTTTCTTGATAATGATGAACGCACGCTCACGTAATAAGCCAATCTAACAACTGTAGAGTGTCCAACAAACGCAGACAACAAACATACCGTTTGCAAGTAGTCTCTCGACACCAACTTGATGGCGCTTGTCCTGTTCTCCTTGACTCCGCAAGTCCTCTCGAACATGTACTCTTAGAGGAGGAAGGAGCCATTGCACCATTGCAAGGAAGCACACCCTTTGATGGCAAGATTTAGACGAGGAAGGATGCCCAAGGGTGAAATTTGGAAGAGGAAGGAACCATTCCAAGGAACTATACAATGCTTTTTGTGAGCCACCCGAGTGTAACATTTGAAGAGGAAGGGCCATTCCAAGGAACCATACCTTTGTGAGCCACCGAGCCACCCGAAGGTATGATTTAGAGCGAAAGGGAACCATTCCACTCGAGGGCAAAATTTCGAGAAGGCAGGAAACATTCCAAGAGAGCCTTTGTTCCTAGCAGCTTTTTGCTCCTAGTAGTATGGCCAAGAGCTACTAGTAGCGTCCTTGCTCCTAGTAGCAAGGCCAGGAGCCCCTAGTAGCGATGCCCTTTGCTCCTAGTAGCCGGTTGTGAGCCACACAAGGGTAAAATTTGGAGGAGGGAGAAGCCAGTTCAAGGAACCATACCTTTGCGAGAGCCGGAAGGAGACGTTCCTGGCCCACCCAAAGGTGGAGCCATTAGAAGAAGAAGGAGCCGTTCCAAGGGAACATACCTTTGGTGAGCCACTCGAGGGCAAATATAGAGGAAGGAGCAAGCCTGTCCAACCACCGACCACCCTGTTTGCCAAAGACCAAACTTTTCGTGGGAGCTCCAAAAGGCGGCACCAACGAAGCATGGGTTCCCAGCGTGCCTGCCCATTCGTGGGAAGTATCACCGTGGGAGCTTCCCGGGCCACGCCCAAGGCATACAAAAACCCATGCTGAATTGAGTTTTCAACGAAGGAGAACACTCCGAATCTAGAAGCTAGAGAGGTTATTTTTTGACTCCATCAATCGACCTTCATTCGGGGCTTCCCTTTCAGCACAAAGACGGCCAAGCGAGCTACGCTGAAACATGCCAAATCCTAAGGCAAGAATGTTTGCGCTGCCCGGTCACGAAAAGCTTGCAGCCCATGCTCGCAAAGCTTTCGCTATCACTCATGGGAGTTGGAGCATCGATGGACTCGCTGCCAAGCTTTGATCGAGTATTTTTTACTTTTTTTGTACTTGTTCGCTTTTGTTCTTATCGCATGGTTTCAGGCCCTAACAATCGAACTTCAAAATCTTGCGCCGGGCGCATGGCATCGTGCCCGGCCCAAGGCACAGTGATATTGGGCAAGTGAAGACTTTGCTGGTCGAGCTCCGGGTTCCTTAGCTATTTCTGGTGGTCCAAGTTGTCGTCGTGCCCCTGAGAGCGCGTCAGTCACTGTGTCTACAAAGTTTGCCTGTTTCCAAGGTAAGTAACAAAAGATAGCAAGAGTATCTCTTTGATCAAGGACAGCGACGGCCTCAACGCTTTGGAAGCAGCCTCCAATATTTCTTGGTTTGAAGCAGTCGGGACCTGAAAAGAGACAGCTTTCATTAGAGGATTCCTGTAACTGTAGACAATAGATAACTGTTTGCAGGAGTTCCGGCTGTCCCACATGACATGCAGGATGATGCAGCTAGCTATGAATCCAACCTGTCCAGTTCTTCCTTTGAGGTTTGGAACGAGTGGCTGGAAACGTTGCTGCCCATGGGCGTCTTTTCGGACATTGGTGTCTTGGCTTCGGGTGTTTGGCGCGATGTGGCATTGAGATGGGTAGATCTCGGTAGAAGACCCATGAGGTCCAGGACGGTGGGGAGGTTGGATCAATCATGATACCGTAAATCCATTGAAATAGGATGAACGGACGTAACACCCCATTTGGACCAGATGAAATCATAACAATGTATCTATTCATTGTTCGGATAGATACGGATAGACGATGGTAGACTTCGACTCCAGGTGCACCTGTTGACGCAGTGCTTGAGCAGTGGCGGTTGCCTCCTGTTCGACGCCAGCAAACTGTGCCCCGCTTGGTAGCGACGTTGGTCGCAGACGAGCCCCTCGGCACCTTTATCACAAGATCGGCAGATTTGTTCCTAGGGTCTCCAGCAAAAATACTGTAATAGAAATATAAGTTCTATAAGAACAGCAGCGAGTCAACAGTTTCTGAGCCAGGGAGGGACTCTTACTGGAGACTGGCTTGACAGCTGGGCCAGCAAAGCCGCCAGACATCTGTAGCCTTTCGGTGTTGTGTTTTGCATGTTAGCTCTGTGCTTGTCACGTGCGCGCACGAGGTCCCTTAAGCCAGAAGTGGTGGAACGGATGAGCATGCCCCAAGCGGGGCTGTCGAGCTTTTTGACCACTTGTGCCTGAGCTTGCAGCAATTCGATGATTTTTTTTTGTGTTTCTCCCTTCAGCCGAAATTCGCTGACAGAAGCCTCATGCAACCTTGACTTACATTCTTGATTACAGCTTGCGCCTCTTAGGCTTATCAAAAGAGTGCTGCACACTGCTACAGAACTTGAAGCATACGGTGGAGCTCAAAAAGATATGGTTGGTGCATGAACCAGTTGATGTCACAAAGCCACTGGCGTCCTTGTCGCTGAGCACATCCGATAGAAAAAACATTACTGAATTAGAAGTTGACTTCATGGAGGCCACCGAGAATGAGAGTGGTGCCGTGGATGTGCGTGTTGGAGTGTATGGACGTCCTCACTTGGGTAAAGCAACAACACAGCTCTTCTTAAATGGTGTCGCAGGTGCTCATCAGACCGCCCCACAGACATTGCAACTCTTGGAGCCCTCATATTGGGCACTTGGTGGGCTGGACCGATGCAAAGTGTGGCGGACTGTAGGGTTTAAAGGGATGCAAGCATCTGGCAAGTTTTACTACGAGGTGGAGCTGGTGTGCAACATTCAAAGCGGACGCCTTTTTCTCGGGTGGGCCACAGAAGATTTCACATCCTTTGCCTGGAAGGCGGACACCTTTTTTGGCATCAACAGCCAGCTCGAGCCAGCAGATGCTGAGGATGAGTGGGAGCCGGAAGAAGATGAGGAAGAGTCGGAATGGACTGATCAGAGTTGTAAACTTGGAGACGTCTTTGGCATGGCGGTGGACCTTGATCAGAAAACTGCGTGGTTCAGCCTGAATGGCAAACGCTTTCTTGAGTACCCTGTTCATGGGGATCGGAAGATTTTTCCCATATTGCGCACAAGCGGCACAGTCAGAAGCTGGGTGTCAGATGGGCAAAGCTCTTTTACGCGTTACGTTTTGAGATTGACAGGGGCTGCCTCTACATGTTGACGTTGAACATCTGTTTTCGGTTTCGTTGGCTGAAATACTGAGCGGTTGTTCAACACATCATCTAAGGAATAAAGTTGCGCCCCTGCGATTGGCAGTTTGCCCCGCCTTCCAAGTTCCGATCTTGGCTGGAGGATGGTGAGCTTTTGCGACCGAATCTCTGAAGCACTGAAGTCCTGTGTCCATCCCTCATGTTTGATCTAGTTTTATGGCAACCGTCATGAACTGATTTGTAATGTGGGCATGCAGCAGATTTGTGGTGGAACTGCCTGCGTAATTTCATTGACGAGGAGCAGCAGTTGTTGCCGCTAGCGGAAACAGATGAAAACATTGAATCGCCCATGTGTATTCACGTACCGATGACCGCAAGCTAATGGGCATTGTGACGTTGTTTCACCGTCCGCCTCGGTGTGTTTAGGATGTAAGGCTTAGTTAGGGTCCCAAGCCACATATATAATGTATATATATAATATATATAGTATAATATTGTGGAATTCACAATTGGTAGCAACAACTTGCAAACAGCGCACCCTGCGCTAAGCAACACAACCAAGCTTGCAACTCAACTAGCAAACAGCGCACCTCCCAGTGCCCAACCTTGTTTTCAGCCGCCTCTGCTTGAACGAACGGTGGTGTCCTCACCACTTCGGAACTCTCGTCGGTGTCCTCACCGACTTTGGATCAAGACCATGCAAGGCCCGCCCACGCCGCCCTACGACCTCGTGCCTAAGGTCTGCGGGCAAGGATGGTGAACCTTCTGGACCTGGTTGGAAAGGTTCGAAATTCACACTCCCGAAAAATCTAAAAACTCTGTTTTTCTTCTTCAAAAAGCTCTTCAGCAACATGACCTGTGGATAGCCATTGCATTCGGGTTCTATTGTCAGCCCTTTGCTTGAGAACCTGAAGTTCATCATGGAGTTGATAACGTCCCCTTTGGAGGGTGTGACGGAGAAAGTGGCTTTGCATAACCTTAGTTAATGCATCTGCAAGCTGAGCCCCTGTATGTACCCAACGCAGGGTCACGCCCTCATCCAACATATCCTTGATCGCCCTGGCCTGAAGCTGTGTCCTAAATTCTTGACAATTCGGCTGAGCCGTTCTTGTCACAAGGTCATAGAGCGATTTGCAGTCCGTGACTGCCACGGATTTTGGGAGTTGCTGAGCCAAGTACGTCGTCGAAGATATCGGGGCAGGGCTTTCTTGGAACACCTTCTTTGGTTGTTTCCAATTCAAGTTTGGATTCAGGAGCCAACCCCAGAAAAGACGAATCCATGACATCTGGTCGAGACTCGTTTGGAGGGATGTCGTTTCGGCCGCTAAAGTACTTGTCACTACTTTCTGGATTTTCTTACAACCCCAAGACAGTGGGCTCACGGCACATTGAAAGTTGTTTGAGATGTCTTTGTGGGTGGCCATGATGATTACCCCGGTGTGGCTCTCTGGACTTTTGGCTGAGGCAAATGATGCGTCTGAGAACATTAAAAACCTTAAGTCTTTAATGGGGATTGGTTGGATGCGAATATGTGTGTCTTTATATCTTTTGGCTTCATGCAACACACGATTTGCGTCGTGAAGGGTTTGAACAGTGGCTCTATTTATTTCACTTTGAAGATAGCTCAATCTGCTCGAGAGATCAGGACGTGTGTTGGTTGCAGCGTATTGGAGACTACCAATTAATGCTCGGAGACTGTGTTTCTCTTCGGAAGTGACAGGTTCCGTCAGGCATGTTCGCCTGTTGGCATTCAAATGGATCGGCTCAATTTTGCTGACGTACTTACTTTGAGACATGATGATGCTTTGGTCTGGCTGTTGAGATATGTCGACTCCTGTGAAGGTGAACTGGCCTGTCTTCTTACTGCCGAATGGAAACTTGGCCTCGAGCTTGGAGATCTGTTGGTTGAAATATTCATCACCCCCACACAAACCATCGTCGACGTGGACTCCTAACACTCCGGATGGCATTGTTTTACCTGATTGGTACAGAATGTATGCGCATGGGTCGAATGGTGCGGGAACAAAATTCAAATCCCTTAAGGTGCGATCTAACTCCCTATGCCACAAATAAGGGGCATCTATCAAACCGTATGCTGATTTCTCCAATTTGCATACTTCACCTGGTTTCAAGTTCATTGCCCTTCGGAGTTCCTCGACAGGTTCGATTGCCAGGATTCTGTTTTCCTGGGGCTTTCCTTGCAAGAAAGCAGCGCGAATGTCGAAACTTTTGAGAGTCCATCCCATAGAGCTGATAAGCTGTACTAGGAGCATTTTGGATTGCTTACCTAGTGTTGGGCTATCACGGGGTATGGAGTCGATTTGGGGGTCCTCAAATCCAAGTACTACTAAACGAGCCTTCGCCTTGTGCGTCTTCGGTCCAGGTCGACATGGGATGTCGCTGTGGGTTGACTGCTCGTTCTCCAAGGGTTTCCAAATGCATATCCATCGGCATCGCAGGATTTGCTCCTGATTCAGCTGATTGCGAAAGATCTTGCTCACCGTTCCGGTGTCTAACCAATTTTGAATCTCTTTTGCCTTTGCTGAATCGAAGAGGGCTTGTTCGGACTTTGACAACTGATGGAGCTTCACCTCTGATCGGTCACGTTTTGCGTTTGATGCTACCAAGAGAAAATCTTCGTTTGAGTGTTCAATTTTCCACCTCTTGATGTCGTCTTCAGAGATGATTGTTTCCCATTTCCATCCGTCGTTTGGATTCTCATGGCATGTTTCTTCCTCTACACACAAAAGGTGGTCACAGAGGAGCTCATCATCCGTGTCAGCCGGTATCGGAATTTCTGCAGGTGCAATGCTTTGATGGTCATTTGACACGTTTCCACTAGACCTAGACTCGATGTCGTCAATCGGTTCTTGATCAGGTTGATCTTCTGAGCTGCTGGCAGGTCTAGGTTCGGGGTTACGTGACTCCAATTCGACTTCTATTGGATTTTGTTGGACTTAAGCTTGGATTTCCGTTGGAGTTGTTTCAGTTTGTCTGCTGTTTCTCACTTCACTTTCTTCCTCTATTCCTGGGATAGCATTGATTCTTTGTGGAATATTCAACTGTTCTAAAGCACTTACTTCTCGGACATGTTCGGGTGACACTTTGACCAGGTTTCCCATGTGGTTGCACCATATGCAATGCTGCCCTTCTTGTTGGATGATCCGGGCTGGTCCAATCCAGCCGCGGGTGGACGGCGTTTGCCTCCAGATCATCACCCATGCGCCGGCTGCGTACGTGCCGCGGTTCGGACGTGTTCGATGCAGCATGGCTCTCCGAAGGTTGGCATCGTTGTCGGCCAGGTGGAATGCTTTTCGCGCGGCTTCTCGCTTGGCTAGTTTTTCTCGAAATTGGATGCCTTGTTGGGTATCTTCCTCTGCTAACAGGTGGGATGGGAGACTGTAGTCAGATGTGATTGACGCAGGGACCCTGAGTGTCTTCCCAAATGTCAAAACGTCTGGGGAATATCCTGACTTAAGACTCAATGCGTTCTTTGATGATGTACACTGTGCTAACGCAACTTGAAGGTCCTGATACGACACTATGGGGAAATCCTGCTCATACTTACGAAGCATGGTTTGCAGGATGTGTCCATGGCGCTCAACCTTTCCTATTTGCCAATGTGCTCCGGGAGCTGCTACAATGGATCGAACACTGAACTGTGTCAGCATGCTGGAGAATTCACGAGACGTGAATTCTGTTCCGGCATCGGTGTGAAGTTCGATTGGAGCACCAGCCCACTGGAACCAACCTGTCACGAGTGCTTCAATCGCTGCCTGACTGCTTTGGCCTGGTGATGCACATGCAACATGATAATTTGTTCCATAGTCTATTATGTGGTAGAAATGGTATGTTGTTCCACTGAGGGCAGTGTACGTGACTCCATCAATTCCTATTCGATCATTGAAATCGAGGTCATCCTTGATGGTTGCAGTTCTCTGTACCTTGGGTTGTTGTATGTTGTTGTTCATTGGTACATGTCGAACATTTCATGTCGAGGATTCCATGGCTGAGGCATGGGGCATGCCCCTGTTCTCGGAGGACCTGGCTGAGACGGGCATGACTAGGATGTCCCAGGTTTTGGTGGAGTTTGATCAGGAATGTCTTCTGTTCTGGGGACAACTGTAGGAATTTGGGACCATGTTTTTCACTTCTGAGGTCGGCTTGTTGGCTTGTAGTGATTCGTGGGACACTGCATGGATTACTGTCCTGGTGACGGTCCTCCAAGTTCTTCGGCACATCATGCGTCTGTGCTTGACTTGCCGGTTCACTGGCGGTCTCTGGCAACGCTGGCGGACAGCCATTCGAGGTCCTTTCATTGTCGGAACTTCGATTGGCAGCGAACATTGTCACATTGATTCTGGCGGCGTGCGATGGTCTAATCAGTTGCCGATTCGACAATTCTTGCCAAAATTCCCAGTCCTGTTCAACTCGAATTGACGCATCAATCCTACTTACAATAATTGCTTTTCGGAATGGTGCTTCGTTCTTCACAAGATCTTGGGGGGGACCAATTGTTCTATCAGAACCCTTGCGTGCAATGACTCGTTTGATGTGTTTCTCCGGAAAAACTTCTTGTAGTTGTTGGATGATGACTGGGTCATTGAGGTCGGGCTTTCCTACTCTACGCAGCATGGGTTTTATACTCTCGAGGATGGTCTCTAGCTTTTGTTGTCGTGACTGGTCCGCAGGATATGTCTTTCTCGGCGGTCTTTCCGTCGATGCGACGGCGCTTCACAGTTCCATTCAGCACCTCCAATGGAGTTGGAGGTTGTCGGGCATTCGAAGAATTGGGAGGAGGATTGATGCGAGGTCGCTTCGACATCTCCTCTGGCCTCTCTGGATGATCTCGAGCGTGGCTCACTAGGATTGGAACATATTCCTTCTGCTTTACCTTCGTGATCAACTTGGCCACTCTTCGAGCAAACTTCCTAGGATATTTCTCGGTGAACGAACTGCATGAGATCCTCCCTTCGTGGGTTTTGATCGATCCAGCAATGGCCCGGTGCTCATGGTTTCGATGGCACGTGCGCCCGTGGAGGGCGTCATGCATGTCGATTGATGTCGTTCGAACTGCCATGCCCTTCTGAATGTGCAAACCTGTCTCTGGGCACTTGAGGTCCCCTGCATTGCACATGTCGAAATGGGCTTCTAGTGTGACCTCGAACAGTTCATGCAACATTGGAGTTTTGAACATCAGGGATTGCCGAGGTTGTTCCCAATGGAGGTGTGTGCCCTGACTTCGGGTGATTCTCAACAACACGATACCCAGAGCTAGTTCATACAGATGGGAGTCTCGTTCATGTTGAACATGTTCGAAGAGCTCAATCGATCGTTGTTCGTTGAAACGATTCCATGCACACCATGGGCTACATGTCGGGCTGTACCATACGTTTCGTGGCCTGTTCATGAACATGATCTCAAACAGAGTTTTTCGACCGTCGGGAGTACTGAGGTCCCCTTGGCTTAGGCCCATACGAACAGCTTTCCCATTGAGATTCTGAACCTGCTTTGTCAGTTCACTGTTTTCATGACAAAAGACTTCAACCAAGTGAACCAGGCAGGCGTCGGACGAACTCTGGCAACGATCCTGCACAGACTTGGCTTCTCTTGAGATCTCTCGAATCATTCGGTGGAGCTTGTCTTGCTGTTTGGCACTTTCGTGATCTTGAACTACCAACCCAGGAGAAGTCTCAAAAGTGTCTAGCCAGTCTGTGGTCATGAACTTCGAAGGTGCGCTACCACCTCCTGGAGTGCACTCTCCAGTGACAGCATTCGATTCTGGAGGGCTGCCATGTCGGCATAGATCGTTTCCGGCTCTTCGATGACTTCCCCAATGGGCTCCCAGCTCTGGTCCGCCTGGAAGTCTTCGAGATCCCGACGGGTCACAGGCATCTGTGCACTCGATGCCCCGGCCTTGGCTTTCGGCTTGGCCGGTGTGGCGCAGTGAGTCGGGACCTGGACTTCTTCCTGCTGTTCGAGATCCTCGATGCGACGGTTGATGTAGTGAATCAGCAGTTGATGCTCTCCCTTGGTGCTCGTCTGATACTTGCTCACGAACCACTTCACATACTGTGGCTCGTTTTCCCACAGCTGCTCGTAGGTTTTGCCAGTGTGAGCCTTGCCGAACTTCACTAGCTGCTGTCCCTGTTCCTCGATTGGAAGCTGCTGGAACTCCGCTAGTGACATCTCGTCGGCTGCTTGCTGTGAGATCTGCTGTACACGGGTCAGGCGAGCGAGCATGTCGGTCTTCGGTGGCATGGCGATCGACGATCACAGGTGGACGAGGGTACCCGCACGTGCTCGAACAGGAGAACTTCGGAACTTGGCTTTCTGGAACGTGATGCTTCGGATTCAAACTCGATCGTGACGGCACAGCTCGATCCGGCCTATTCGAATGTTCTTCGAATCGATCAATTAGATCCCGGACGGATGGCTTCGGTGTCGGTTTGGTCTGAGGTTCGGATGTCTTACCGTTTTCGTTTGTTTGATGTCTGTCTTCTCGAGGCTTGCAAACTGCTGGCCCCTTTTGCGTCTCGGACACATGGAACGTGTCTGCAAAGCTTTCGGCCGAGGTGTCACTGCAGGGCTTGGCCAGTTCATTCAAGTCTAGGACGTATAGTCCTCGTGAGTTGACCTGGATGGGGATGGATCTTTTCAACAGTGAACTGTGAAGCAAACCCTGGCGAGTGTCAATCGTGGCACCGACGGCTCGGAACAGCGTGTTCGACAACAAAAACGGTGTCATACCTGGTACAATGGCTATCTTCAACTTCAGCTTTCCGATGGGCACAACTAATGCATGATGACTTTCAAGAGTACCATGGTTTCCAAAACGAAACTTGACATGACATGGACACCTTGACACCTGTTGTCGAACTTCCTTTGACAGATTATTGATCAATCCGGCCACGAAGCAGCTTCCTATGACTGTCTTGAGGCTCCTGTATCGATGATACCTAGCGAATTTGAGATCGCAAAATGCGACTTGGCATCGGCTTCAGGCTGTCGGCTCAACGTTGATTCACTTGAGCTGGTCAAAATCTCTGCTAGAGGCGGCTTGGATGCTCTATTCCTGAATTCATGCATGAGTTCATCTTCCCCAGTATCAGGTTTCTCAATGACCTCCCCGTCATTATTCCCGATACGAATCCCCTGTGATCCCAAAAAACACGAAAAACTTGACAAAACAGGCACAGTTGCGATGGGCTCTTCTGGAAGCTCAAGAAACTCCAGTGGAAGGGCATCAATCCCTTCCTCCAAAGTCACCAGCGTGGGAGCCGTGGCCGTGTTGGCCTCTGAGGATCGTCCGCGATCTGGGCATTCGGCTTTCCAGTGTCCACGGCGGCCGCAAAGGCGACATGAGCTCTCTAGGATCCTCTGTTGGAGAGTCTTTCGGTTTCCCGGATTGCGATTCCCCGAGTAACCCTTATTGCCCTTCTCCCAGCCCTTGCCACGGGATTTTCCCTTGGCACCACTCGAAGGCCAGAATCCACGATTCTTCACACGATCTGCCAATCTCTTGCGGGCTTCAGCATAGGTCGTTGACGACAGTGCTAAGTCGGCGTCGTCCTGGATGGCGTCCAGCATCGACTGTTCATATTCCATGACCAATGCAGCGTCCTCGTCTCCTTCGTTGGCCCACTGTTCAATCAGCTCTTCTTCGTTCCAGTCCTCCGCCTGAAACGCAGCATCTTCTGGCATGACGTCACCTCCCATGGTGTCCTGAGCCATGAATGCGTTGGCCTCGTAGGTCTTTGTGCGACCTCCAGTGACCTTTCCAGCATGCACCTCTTGGAAGAACTTGCTGCCGAGCAACTTGAGGTTGGACACAACATCTCTATATTCCAAGGATCCGGACGACTCAACAATCAACCTCTTCTTGTCCTCGGAGCTCAAGGCGGAATTCCGCAGCAAGATGTATGCACGGAACTCGTCAATGCCAACCTTCATACCCAACAATTCTTCAAACTGGTGATCATGTCGGGCCAGGTAACTTTCGTTGGTCTCATCTGACCTTTGAACTGTTCCGTAGATGGCCCTTTCGAACCTCTCAAACTTGCTTTCGAGATTCGATTTCCCCCAGATGCCTCCGAGAGCTTCGACGATGGACTTCACTCCTTCCAGACTGCCAACTCGCAGGGTCTTGGGATCCAAGCGAGCAACCCTTTGAAAGGCAGATCCCTCGCACTGAAGGGCTATGCGAGGGGCCAAGTGCTGCAAATGCTCAGGTGGCCACAACTGAGCCAGGAACTCGACCTTCTTCGTCCACTCAGTCAAGTCTGTCTCGCCAGGCTTAAACTGCGGCGCCTGATTCCATGGAAGATGGCTCAAGCCACCTCCACTGCAATCAATGTAATCAATGCTCAACCAAGCACCAATCCAATGTAGCAATGTCAACCAACCACAACTCAATGTATCAATGTTGCTAACGACTTGCCAACTCGACCAATGTACAAGCAGTGACCTCACACGCCAATGTACAATGCTTCTAGTGCAACTCGACGTCAAGCCAACAAGATCAAGCGTCGCAGTTCTCTGACAGCTGGAGCAGGAGCGGATGCTCCGCTACCAATGTGGAATTCACAATTGGTAGCAACAACTTGCAAACAGCGCACCCTGCGCTAAGCAACACAACCAAGCTTGCAACTCAACTAGCAAACAGCACACCTCCCAGTGCCCAACCTTGTTTTCAGCCGCCTCTGCTTGAACGAACGGTGGTGTCCTCACCACTTCGGAACTCTCGTCGGTGTCCTCACCGACTTTGGATCAAGACCATGCAAGGCCCGCCCACGCCGCCCTACGACCTCGTGCCTAAGGTCTGCGGGCAAGGATGGTGAACCTTCTGGACCTGGTTGGAAAGGTTCGAAATTCACATAATATACATATATATATACATACATGTTTGTATAATATGAGCTCACACTGCAAGTTAGGCAGTTTGGAACAGGATCATACAAGACTGTTTTGACAAGCTGCGATCAACTTGGTTCATGCTCTCCTGCAGCTCATGGGCGCACGTGTTTGTGTGTGGCGTTGTTGGCAGCCAAATTATATCATGTAGAACCAACATTTGTCGAATCATGTCGAATCAAAGCAAGCTCGACAAAGATTTAGGAACCACAGAGAGGTATCCGAGTTAGCAAGACTTACCTCTTGATTGAGACGCGCAGAAGTCGCTCCCGGTTCTCCGCTGATGCTAAGGGACCAGAGGCACATTTTCAATTTCACGAACGTGCCGAAGGACCAGCAGTGTTGCTTCCGGTTAAAGCTGGAGCTTCGGGCTGAGATTGATGGGATGCCGTCATTGTCAAAGGTCTTCAAAGCGAGGTCCTTGATATCTACAGCCATTTGCTACTTGGCAGTATTGGGCACAGATCGACCTAACATAAGTTGGAGCAAATAAACCTTGGAGAATTGGGTGAAGTGTTTCTCAGACCGCAATGGCACTCGACCAAAGCTAACACTTGTCGAGAGGTGTGTAGGGTGCAGGGAGAGCTTTGTGTGATTGTGTTGAGAGCCTAATGATCTTTATGATATTGTATGGACAGGTTTGTGGATAGCAAAACAAGCCTGGACATTAGACATGACAAGCCCTTAAAATGTCCGCTAGCGGTTATTCCAATTGTTTCTAGTTCAACTTCCAATACCGGTCAGCCTGCTCATTCGCGCGCATTGAGCACCCCAGTGTGGCCAAGGGAAGCAGTGCAAGTGGAAAATCATCGATATTCTGAAAGATCGTGGCTGTGAGCTCACCTTGGAGACCTTGGTGTCATCTCTTCGGTGGGTCAGGCGAGGAACAAAGGCGGGGACACGCCATTGCTTGGTTTAGAACTTTGGACTCTTACCACGATACAATATTTACATCTACATTATATGCGTGTAAACACGAGAAGCACTAGCACCTATCACAACGAACAGCCCTTAATTTTGAAGGAGGTTGAAAGCATTTCCCTCTTCCAAGAATGGCGGTACAAACATGGAAAGACACAACAGGGATCTAAAGGGTGTTTATTTGTAGTGGGCGTGCGGGCTCCATGACAACGTTGCTGATGGAGTCCTTTCGCTTCATTCAGGTCTTGCGGATGCACCAGTCACTCTCCAGCGACCCTCGGTATGCTTCTGTTTTGCTTGGGCCCAACAAGGACGGGAAAAAACTCGACGGAAATCAAACGCGCGAATCCGTGAAGTGGTCTGCTCACAGGACAAATTGCAACCTTGGGTTTTTGGTGCTTTCCTGGAATACTTGAAGAACGGTTTCCAAGCTGAAGAAGGGTCAGTTTGATTGAATAGTCTGAGAACCTTATTCGCTGGAAGTTTCATTTTCTTCAGCCAACTCCCATTTATCGATGCTGGGATTTTCTCATAGACCCTTGCTTTCCATGGAAATTTCAAGGATTTTTGCTTGGCTAAGGTGATCTAGATGAGGAAGATGTGATGTTGGTTTGCCACACGTTTGCAGCGTGCGGGGCACCCTTACAGCGCATGCGCGGTGACTACATCGATGCGAAAGATGCAACTTGAAGAAGACGGAGTGTCTATACTGATTGTGTAAACGAATCGAGAACGGCACAACAAATTCTACGTATTATGCGCCCCCAGAGTCTTCTTCGGGTACTCATTCTATTCTCTTGTGGCAAACTGTTTCGTGCCATTACAAGAACGTCAAGAGCTGGAGAAGCCAAGAGCTTTGCATGTCCCGCACCAGTTTTTACGTTATCGCGTGTCTGTTTTTTGACAGACATGGTTCCTTGAGCGCGCACTCATTTGGGACGAGAGTATTGGCATCAGCAATAGATTGTTAGCGCGATGACTCCTTGAAAGTTCTCAGGTGAGTGTGCAAGTGAAGGGGACTTTGCACCAGCTGGATGGGATTTATGTGAGACGGGACGACTTCAGCAGCGAAAGGCCTGCTCCCTTCGGACCAAAGCTTTCAGAAATTGGCATGGTACTGACATTGTCAGTGTGAGAGCTTTAGGCAGAGCGCTGGATAGCCAACATTAAGGTGTATGGATACATATATCACGTTTATGTCAACGATAGGAAAGAGGGGACCACGGGATGCAAGAAAGGATGTGCGTGTGGTGGCCATTGAGTCAGAGTGTTGAGCAGGCATGACAGGGAGGTGTGTGTCTCTGAAGACACTGTGTGATCTGTGAGAGCAGGAGAGGGAACAGAATGCTGTGGGGATGGTGGGGCACCCCACTCCCTTTACTACGACTCTCCACCTCTGCCTTTTATTTCGCCATTCTTGACACTGTTCCAGTACGCTCTCGACTTCACCCCCCGTTGCCATGTTGATGTCTTCTTACAGAGGCGAAAGCCCCCTCCCTTCTCAGGTACACACATAAATAGATAAATAAACATATATTTGTATATCCTCAATCGGGCGCAGGCCGTTGTCACATGATACATTCATATTGCTTTGACAAACCCCACATTTAGACCACAAAAGGATGATGGCAGTTGTTATACAAGTGTTTGTTGCCTGACAAGGCAGTGCTTCGTGAACTTATGTCGTCCGGGCCAATGGATTGTTAACGATCCTGCCGAGTCGTTTTGGAAGATTGGTTTGACTGATATTCTGGAAGAAGGCCAACCACCCTGGTACGTAAAGCTGGCCAATTTAGAGGATGGCAAGATTCGAGTTGTTCCTTGGATGGATCAATGGACGTTTTTTGGCATGTTTGTTTTGCAGCAGTGCTAAACTAAATTCTGACACTGTTTTGCTAAAGGTTTGGATAGTGCTAACTGCAGGAGGAAATCGGACAGTTTTCTATTGTGGGCAGTGTCAAAGGAGCAAGACACCCGAACCACAGTTGCGACAGTTGATTTAGGTTAGATAGATATGAAATGATATGAGCAAACTTACGAATCTGGTTGGCGACTCACCAAACACATGTTTGCCTGCATGAAGCACCAATGTGTCGACCATATTTTGCATTATCCATGCGGTTTAGAGAAAAATCAGCATTCACCTCGACAGGACAGTTCAAGACTTGTCGTGGGTTTCGTTCTTTTACGTGTCGAGTGTTTTTCAGGTGGTCGACGGCATCGAGCAAAAATCTGATTTGAGATCACAGACCAAAAAGAACTTGGAAGGCGCAGTTCGAGCTGCAGAAATGGGAACAATGACAGCTACATCCGCCCTTTCATCCTCCCCGTCGGGATTGATATCAACTTCACATCGAGGCCACATACAAAGATCGCCTAGGCCCGGTCACTCATGCTTCAGACTTGAAACAATTTGTGTGCCAGCTTTCATGACAAACTTGATCCAAAGATGCCAGGCCCAAAGGCCAAAAGCCAAGATTAAAACATGTTCAAGACAGACACTTGGAGTTCTTGAGACCCCAAGACTTTGAGACTGTCTGATAGTCTGATCTGATGTATGTCTTCCAACGTGTGTATGATGAACACATTTGACTGCGACACGCTTCTAAGGATACCTTACAAATTGCTTCAAAGAGCTGCAAGAACCCCTGCAGATATCTGATGAAAGTGCGGCTGTCTTTTGGCGAGAGCTCGGAAGGGAAGTAGGCAGGGCGTGCAAGGGCATGGTTTTTTGCAGTTCTCTTAAGTTGATATTTAAGCTCTTCGTGACATTTCGTGACTTTATCATGGCATGCTTCTGTCCAGCTTTCACTTGATTACCCTCCAGGCCAAGTAGCTGAGGCATGGGATGAGGACTGCGACCATGATGTATGCTGTGCTAGTGCAAAGCTTGGGCCTTCCTCGGATTGAGTGAAAAGCGCCGACTATAGTTAATTTATGTTATATAATTTCTGCAGGAGGAACAGAGAAAAATGATGCAATTCACAGCCGCTCTTCGAAGCTTGGCTCCTTTGAGCTCATCTAGGCCCTAGGCCATCTAAAGAGCTAATAAGAGCCATTGTGCCTTTGTGGCCCTTGCGTCCGACCTAATGGCGATGACCTCCAACCGCATTGTGGCCCTTGCAACAACTCCATAAGCCGATAGCTAAGCTTTCCCGTCAGATGTCGGGGGGCCAGTGTCTCAATCACTGAGGAGAATCATTGGAATACGATCCAGATGAAGAGCTTGACCCAGGGCAGATTCGGCCAGTCACAATGATGGATGTGGAGCAATAGGCCAGAATAGGCCAGACATGCAGGGGTGAAACATGCTGAAAAAACAACTACCGCTTCCGCTTTAGAGTTTGGGACTGTTGCGGCAGGAATCGTTGCGAATGAACCAAATGTGGACTCCCTTCGCCTCATCTGCATGGAGTCGGAACAAACAAAATGTGGTGCGTGTCTCCGAGATCCTTAGTTCTATCTCCACCATTCGAAGAATTTCCGTAGCTTTACATCGACGCACATCGAGTGAGGTAGTTGCTGCAAAGTCGGCGACGCACTCGCTTTGGGGCTGCAAAAAGCAGTCTCAACACGTCAGAGAAACATGTCGTGAAGCGATATGGACCCCTGATGTCACGAAACTTGGGCTCATTCGGGCTCGTGTACAAATAATTTCTGCCCCGAACGGCAGGTGGTTAGTGAATCGGGTGCTTGTTTCATGCACTCCCAATGTATATTTGTCAAGTCAGAAATGGTTGCAAGGCAATCCAAAGGCTCCGACTGGAAAACAGCTGCAATGATACCTTTAGACTCTTAAGACGTTTGTTGCCTGCATGGATTTGGCAATCAGGATTGAAAGATTTGGTGATTAGGTTTCCCAAAAGATCTAGGAACCAAATCATAAGTGAGAGCGTGAGCCAACCTGCGTCCGTGCTAGTAGCTAGTTAAGCTACTAGCTACCTCTTCCACTGGCTACCTCTAGCTACTACACCCCTCTACGGTCTACCCCCCGGGCTAAAAAAACACCAAGAGAAATCGAGGAGAAGAGAAGTGAAGAGAAGTTACAGGAAAATGGAGGGTGCTCAGACGCGGACGGATCCTAGTCACTAGGACCCAGACGCTTTATCAAGCGTTGGAGCACACCTGGTTGTGCTATCACCTGGAACCTAACTAAATACATCTAAATACTCATGTTCAGGGAGCCGTCCCCAAAACATTCCTTTGCAGCAGCCATGGCTTGACAGTAGGACCACATATGTCCACATCATGATCAGGATTTAAGAGAGTTATGAGCACGAGATTTTAGCTTTGCATAATGCAGGCATCCCACCCCATCAAACTCGAGCACGGTTCTTCATATTGAGCGGTTGGAATCATAATGATTCGCCAGATAGTCAAACAGCTGTTGTTGATATTGAAAAGGACTTGATCCAACGCCCAAGTTATGGGTGGTTGCAGGGTGTTGCAAGCATCTACAAAGCTACAGAGTGGTACAGCAGCAAGGTGAGAACACTGAGCGCCAATACGCGCAACAGCTCTTTGACCTTTCCAACGATTCAGTGCGTTTCTTCGGATGCTTAAAGTTCAGGCAGGAGACAGCATCAGATGCAATCAGATGAAGCAAACTTTAGCTTAGTTTTGCTTGCATCGATTTTGGCCAAGCTGCAGGCCTTCGTGGTACTGAACCTTCTGGTTGCGGACCCAGAAGTCACAGGAGATTGTGAGGAGGCATTTGATTTCCAAACTCATGATGGTTTCACTGTTTGTTTGAGTCGATCTCCAAGTTATTTCCGAGGTTGTAGCCGGCATGGCTCAACACATTCACAACTACACGGAAGTTGGGCCCTTGATGCTAGTTGAAAGATTGCCAAATGGATAAGGAAAGTGCACAGAGTCAAACCGAGTCAAACCCCTCAATGCTCCGGACTTCTCCAGACGAATGTCGAGGTTGATCCTACAGTTCCTGACCGCCTTGGAGAACCTTGTCTTGAGGCGACCTCCTTGAGAGCAAGTTTTGACAATGGATCAAGCTGTTTTGAGTTGCACAGTACATCCAAATCCTTGATCCGGTAATGTCAGGAAGGCGACGTATTGTTCTCCAAAGACTTTGCAGTCATGTGACATGATTTATGACATGCATGTAGGCATTTCAGCTGTGTGAGAAAGAGCCTCATCACATCCCAAAAATTTGCCTTTGAGGCTTGTGGAAGTGGCGGTTGGTGTGCTTGGTGTGGTATTCGCAAGGCACGACATGGCGCGCATTTCTGGTTCTTTCTTTTTCACGCATTGCTTTGTTAGCACACGTGTTTGAGCAAGAATCTGAAATATCAAAGAAAACACATCAATTCAATGAAAAAAGGCAATTCCTGGGTGAAGCATCAGTTGTTCAAGTGCGTTGGTGAGGCGTGCTGTCAGGCAGGCAATGGTGCCAAGGACGGGGAGAAACAGGAAAAATATAGAGACTTTGAGCGAAACTAAACTGCAAGCTACTTGTACTCTGCTGTCCTCCTTGTACTCCACTGTACTCTGGCAACAAGAAGCTACTAGTAGCAAGGACGCTATTAGGTGGAGGCCATCGCTACTAGTAACAAGAAGCTACTAGTAGGTTGGAGGTACTCCACTGTGCTCTCGCGTCCACTTTTCTTTCTTTGGACCTATGGACCTATGGACCTTTCGTCCATTCTTTCTTAGTCTTTTTGTCTCCTCGTATGATTCTGTCGTCAGTGACACGACGGATCGGCATTTTGGCATTCTACATTCTATTTCTATCACTGGGTGAGACACCAGGAATGCGTGGGTGCCGAAGATGTACCCTTCGTAGGGTATAGATGTGCCATGCCGTCCCCGCAGGTGCTTACATCGATTATCATTGACTTAGCCATGCCAACTGACCGACTAAGTATGACTGACATCTCTGATTACGTAAAAAGGAATGGTTTTCACATGCTCAGCACATGCACTTCATGCACCTTTTGACAGGCCTTAGAGCAACTTCGTGTTGTTTGAGCCTCAGCTGCTAAAGCTCAGAGCATGGCAACCAATTGCAGAATGAAGGGACAATGAAGATCTATTATTATGATCCGTCCGTATTCACAAACAGTTTTCTCAGGTGACTTTCGAGTTCGACGTCAGAGGGCTTTTCTATGCAGCTGTGCAAGCGTTTCTCTAGCAGGTTTTGAGAAACTCATTGTTTTTCATGCTTTCTCCAAAGTGTTCACCTTCAATTAACAGATATTGCAGCCTATGGCCCATCGCCGTCTAGGCTTTGCCGGCATTTCGCGGAACCCAAACGGCCAACTTGACGCCAGGAAGCCCGCTCTAAGAGAACAGCTGGAAGAAAAGATCAAGGTGGGGTTCTGTTTATGTGGTCGTTGGTCGTTGGTTTTCTTGATGTTTTGCAGATTCCCATAGCAGGAAAATAAACGTCACACACAGGCCTGCGGGTCTTCGGCCCAACATTCCATGAGAAGAGAAAACATGTGCAACATCCACTCATTCAGTTTCTCAGTCGAAGCTGGGTCAGGTATGGGTCACAAGCCTCCTCTTGTATACTGTGCAAACCCACTACATCTCCATCCGATGGGAGTTAGGCAGGGACGAAAGCCAAGCTCGCTGTGACTAAAGAGTTGACTGCCTCAATCTGGCTGAACCAAAAGAATGCAAACAGGAAACTGAACGAACAAACAGGATAGTGTTTCAAGTCTATGATGTCTATTGGACAGTCCAGAAAGCCACAATGACAAAGAGACTTTGCAAAGAGCAAGAGGAAGGGCTGGCAGAGAACTTACTCTTTAGCACCTATTGTGGCCAAGAGTGCTAGACTGGCTGAGCATGTTCTTTGCGCGGATATTTTTATATGTGCCCGCCAGCCAGGGCAGACTGGATTCAGTCAAGTGAGCTTGGTTGTTATGGTCGCGTGCCTGAGCAACTTCCTGTGTTGGCGGTGTTTTCCTGAAAAGGGGAATCGGTTCACCTGTAGTAACAAGAAGCTACTAGTAGCAAGGACGCTACTGTAGTAACAAACGTCAAGCGTCGTCATGGAGTTGTACAGGTCGACAAGAGACCCACAGTCACGCGTTTTTGCATTGAGGTTCCCAATGCTGGGGATGCCGGGCGGACTTTGGCAGCAAACAGGCGTCAAGTTTCAAAGTGTTCTTTGGGCCAGGCACGCAGATTCTTGCGCAGGTTTTGTGGTGCCACTGCAACTGCTTCTATTCGAGGGGATGCTGGAGTCTCAACATGACTTGACTGTACTGTAGTACATGCACAATGATATACACGCACCATGGATCACCGTGGATTTTGGATCTGACCAGAGCTGAAGGTGGTTTAGTTGAATTGGATGCCATAGCTTCTAGGTTGGAGGCCATCGCTACTAGGGAGGCCATTGCTATTAGGTTGGAGGCCAGTGAGGCCCGGCACCTTTCGAGACGTGGAGGACAGGCTCTTGCCTGCAAGAGAACGTCGTAGTGGTAGTGGTAGTCATAGTCGTAGTCGTAGTAGTCGTAGTCGTAGTGACAGTCGCAGTGGCAGTGGCAGTAGTAGTGGCAGCAGCAGCAGCAGCAGCAGCAGCCGGCAGCAGCAGCAGCAGCAGCAGCAGGAGTAGTAGTAGGAGTAGTAGTAGTAGTAGTACGTACCTTGTGTTCCGGCAACCCTGTTGATGCCTTTCTTCCGTACACCAGAGATCATGACACGTTTTTCAAAAAGTCACCAAGAAGAGATTCGCAAAAGTTTTGGACCTCGGATGAGCTTGCTTTAAGGCGCAGAATTTGGATGGCCTCAAGTTTGGCGAGGCTGATACCATGTACGATGTCCGGTCGCAAACTTGGAGAGACTCTCTCCCGCGCTTTCATTCCGTGAAATGAACGGGAAGATCATTGTAGGTGGGAGTTTCTATGCGACTTTGCAAGAGTCTTTTTTCCAATTCTTTCCGGAACTCGGTTTGCTTCTGGTAGAAAGCTTCCTTGAAGATCAGTTTTTTTGGTTCTGCGCCCGGTCGCTACTCCTTCTTGCTACTAAATATGTAGAGTAGAGAAACTGAGAAACATGCAGTACATGTAGTAACCCAGTTGTGACTAAGCCACTGTGGCTTCCACTGATAGCTTCATACTTCCAAAAGAAACCAGCTGGCAGTCGCATCCAAGGCTTGTGAACCGCCGAGTCAACGGAGAACCCTGCGGTGAGGCTTGACTCAGCTGGGTTTCACACGTGTGTTCCCATTGTGCAACCACTTGAAGCCAGGAACTGTCCAGACATGTCGAGAAAATGATTCAGATGATGACAGCATCTCAAAGTGCCGCAACCTGAGAATTCGACAATTTGCAACCTTCAACCGGCTTCATCAAATTGTTGTAATAAAGAGGTGGTGTGAAAGAGTGTGAAAGAGTCGTACAGGGGCTTGCAATGGAGTGCACAGCTTGAAGCAATTGGTCTGTCTGCGGCCACGGCAAAACCCAAACTTGTAAACCCTCTTGAACTCCCTTGGCAACACTATTCACTATTCTTATTGTCAGACATGAATCAGTGAATTAGTTCGCTCAAGACCTCTGAAAGCCAAACAGGATTGGACCGCTCTCAAGCCTGGGTATGCGCACCACATACTTTGTAAACCGAGGTTTGGCCCTGGGTGTGCGCAGGCTTTTTCGTAGGACTGTCTCACAAAGCCATCCGTGGATAGGCAAATCGATTTTTTTAAAGGATTATAGTAGCGTCCTTGTTCATAGTTGCGATGCCAGAAGCCCCTAGTAGCGTCCTTGCTCCTAGTAGTACGGCCAGGAGCCCCTATAAT